TATTTCCTCTTCTCCCTACTGCTGTCTGCCCTCAGCAGTTCTTTCCCATGTACTCCTACCCCTAAGCTGCTTACTCATCCTTTCTTTTACTCCTTTATATTAAACAAACAATAGTATTTTCTAAGGTATGTGTAGTTATTCTCCTCACACTCCTATTCCCATGAAATCATATTAAAAAGGAAATTGGAGTAGCTGGGATATGACCTGTTCATTAGATCTGCTCCTAGATTGCTCTTAGATATACCCTTGGCAGATGGAATATTTGCTTTCAGCTCTAGTTTAGGAAATATGTGAGATAAATATTATGGAAGTATTAAAAATAACCTTGTTCTACATTTTAATGAATGATTTGATAAAGATATATTTTTATGCTTATCAAATTTGGTGTGTCTTATGAATATAAAGAATAGCAAATATATTTCATATCAGAATCAAGATCTGAGAATAGGTCAATGGACTAGAATAGGCTCAAAATAATAATTAATAATCTGATAAATATAAATGTGAAGTTTCTCACCTGGATTCAGAAAAATCAATTGCTTACTTAATCAGTCTTGAAGTGATCTGGATTAAGAGTATTTTATATTAAAAACAGGAAATCTGAAATAAGAGTGTACCACTTTCTATTCCTTTGCTAAGGCAGACATTTCTAATAGCACTCTTTCCCTTGGAGCCAGATTAAAATTTTAGATCTTCCCCATCAGGATGACTAGCAGTCAATTAGATCTGGCGCTGGAGTAAAAATATTGACCTATGGGTCTTGGATTCTAGGCCAAGTCCTGGTTTCATTGATATTAGGAAAATAAGTCTTGGAACCTTAGTAAAATTGTTCCCCTAGCCAGTCTACAATTATAATTTCCTCATTTGTAAACAAGGGATTTGGACTATTTGATTTTTAAATTGTTTTCTAACTCTGATATTCTATTTTTCTATCATTTTCTAAGTAAATCAAGAAACAAAAAATATGATGTTCTAGATTTAAAATAATGGAATCTGAAACTGAATTGGATAGAAGGAAATAAGACTTCTAATGTGAAATGATGATAAATGTGTATGTACTGGATTTTCATATAATTTCCTAAATGTTATGTTGGAAGGATGACATTAGTGAATTGGAATTTTAAGAGGAAGGAAGCTAGATGGCAAAGACTTGGAAAAAAATGATGTGTGAAGAAACTGAGTGTGTTTTCAGCCTCAAAAGAACAAAAGGAAGGTATGAAGGAAGGAAGGGAGGAAGGAAGGGAAGAAGGAAGGAACATGGGCTCTGCTTTCTAATTATGAATAACTATTAAGTAAAACAACCACTAAATTTCTTCCTTTGGAAAGAAGGGACCAAGAAGGGAAAGATGGAACCAAGTTTTAGGCAGACAGGTTTGATTCAATATATGGAATACTTTTCTATATTAAAGATTATCCAACAAAGATAGGGCAATCACATGATACTAATAATCGCTGAAGATTTTAGAGACTCCACTGAGTCAGGCACTATTTTAAATGCTAGATTCATTTAATGGCCTTCTTGGACCACTGAGGTAGGTACTATCATGATCTCCGTTTTTAAAGTGAGGAAACAGTGGGCCACAAAAATTGAATAATTTGTCCAATATTGCAAACTTAGATTTAGTGTGTTGTCTAAGATGGAAAAGGCAAGACTCACCACAAAGCCTTAGTCCAGAGTCTAGGTTTTTAACCATTATTTATACTATCTACACTAGAAGCAAATATTAGCTTGATCCTCCTTGTCCAGAGATATTGAAGAAACAAACAGGAAATTGAAATGTAAAATGTTTATGCTGCCTTCCCACTCTATGATTGACACTGAATTAGGATTGCCCATACTTTACCCTTTAAGATCATGCAAGTACAGGGATTTGAAATAGTATTTAAAATTATAATTTTTTCTTTACAATATTATTGACTATATTCTACTATTTTTTCATAATTTTACATAATATGATTTTTTTTACTTTGCTTTTCTTGGTGTACTTTAGTTTTATTGGTACAGTTGCTGAAAATAGCTCAAAAGATATAAATAGTAGCAATATTAATATTATATAAATAAAATTATCTAATTTTTATACATAGTTTCTCCTGGTTTGATGAATTTGGTAATCTGAACTAGCAAATTCAAGAATAGGAAGGTATGAAATACAGATAAAAAGAAAAAGTAAAAGGTACTTTGGAATAAAAAAAAATGTCACTGTCTTCTTGAAGTCTAACATATAATATCCTTCTCTATTTAAAAAAATGCATCTGTAATGCTTTGTGGCACTTATACTGGTCAAAATAAATATTGCTAAGATTTATGCTTATTTTTCCATTGCTTACATTCAGTAGCCAAATCAGCTATGGAGAACCCATAAAGCTCATGGGCAATCAATCATGAATACATGGCCCTTCATTAGTTCCTCTGAACCTCCTCGGATGTTCGTGATCAAGCAGCTCATGTCTTGGAAAAGCTGCCCAGGAGCTCTGTCCAAGAAAACAAAATTCTATTTATTGATTCCCCCTTCAACATCTTTCAAAATTATAGGTGCTTTATTCTCTTTTGTTATTTTTTCTTTCCCATATTATTAAATTAATAGTTCCATGATATTAGATAAGGTCAATATAGTTAGAATTCAATATTAATCTGGAGAAAGATAGAGACTTAGATTCTGTAATCAGATTGAGTTTGTCACTCCTCGTGCTATAATTCTTCTTCCCAACCCTTTTATGCCTCTTGGATCATCAATAAGCCTCTGTGACCTCTGTGGATGAAGCTAGGGCCCAGAGCAACATTCATCAAGCTGCTTCATCTGTTGCTACTCAGAGACACAAGAGTAGGTTTTTAGCATCTTTCTGATAGAAGTTGGGCCCATGTTATGCTACTTTATGCATTTATTTATTTATTTTAATATTGCCCTTGTTTTGTGTTGTCTTTTTTATTCTCTGATTTTCTTTTCTCTTTTTTAAAGATTTTATTTATTTGAGAGAAAGAGAGCACAAGCAGGGGGACGACCAGAGAAAGAGGCAGGCTTCCTACTAAGTGAGGATCCCCACAATCCTAGGACCCCCAAGATCATGACCTGAGCTGAAGGCAGACACTGAACCAACTAAGTTACCAGGTGCTCCTTTTCTCTGATTTTTTTAACTTCCATAGGCATGCTCGCTCTTGATTTTTATTTCTATCTATCTTATGTATTTCCTTATTTTACACATCCATACAAATGTCTTTACTCACAAATTAAGATATATTAGTTGTTATTTTTATTATGTATAACTTACCAGCATTTCCTTTCTTCACAATTGATCAATAAAAGGTGAAGGATATGTGGTTTTTCCTCAGTCAAAATAACATTCAGTTGGGTTGATATATGAGTTTTGAAGATAACATTGGCCTAAAAGATTGTTGAAAGACGTGAGCAGTAGAAACAATATAAAATAATGCTGTCTGAGTAGAAGCAGTATCAGCATTTCTATTGTTTATAAAGAGAGAGATAAGTCTATCATTAGGGGGAAAAATAAGATGATTGAGTTTTCTCTGGAAGATTTATATTTTATATATTAAAGTTAATTAAATACTAAGATTATTGAAGTCGAGAATAATGGTCTTTGTAGTTGAGTATCCTCACCTCCATACCTTGCATAGTTGTTGGCATCTAATAAGTATCCATTAAATCAATAAAATGGATGAATGATAATTAAATGAGTTTATAATAAAGTATAAAAAGTCATCACATGGCTATTATGCTCAGTTGTATGCCACATAAATTGTCCTGTCTCAATTATTATTGTATCTTAAATTATTGTATCTAGAACCCATAAAGAGAAACACATGTTATTTTAATTGGCTTTCCTGATATCGTATTGTAAATATATTTTACTATATTTTAAAATAAAAATGTTTCTATTTACCATACTTGTTAGACAAATATACTTACACATTAAAAAAAAAAAAAAAAACAGAAATTGGGATGCCTGAGTGGCTCAGTTGGTTGTGCATCCCATTCTTGGTTTCTGCTCCAGTCATGGTCTCATGGTTGTGCGACTGAGCCCCACATGGGGCTCTGCACTCCGCATGGATTCTGCTTGAGATTCTTTCCCACTCCCTCTCCCTCCCCTTCTGCTTCTCCACTCCCCTCACCCCCACTTGCATTCTCTCTCTCCCTCTTCTCTCTTTTTTTTTTTTTTTAATTTTTTTTTTTTTAATTTATTTATGATAGGCACACAGTGAGAGAGAGAGGCAGAGACACAGGCAGAGGGAGAAGCAGGCTCCATGCACCGGGAGCCCGACGTGGGATTCGATCCCGGATCTCCAGGATCATGCCCCGGGCCAAAGGCAGGCGCCAAACCGCTGCGCCACCCAGGGATCCCTCCCTCTTCTCTCTTAAATAAATAAAATCTTTAAAAAAAATCATTCTAAAATGCCCTTTGAGGATATAGTCTGATCTACTGCTCATCATTTTTTTTGGGGGGGTGGTCTGCCCTTCATTCTTATTCTTAAATGTCTCATAAGTATCATGGAATACACTAGATTAGGTGGTCTTTACTTTGATTTGGGCATTAAATATTCGGTAATTTTGTAGTGCAAATTTTCCCAGTGGAATGGATAAAAGCAATGTTTATGAAAGGGTTAAGAACTCAGTTACAGAATCATGGGATTTCAGATCTGCACTAGATCTTAGTGTTCATCATGTCCAAGCTCTTCTGTTGTTGCGTGAGACAGTGAGGATCCTGAGGGTTCAGTACAATGCTGGAGAGCTACAGGATGAAACGATGGTAGAATTTTATTTTCCCAGAGCTGGTATTGCTATTGCTATTTGTAATTAGCTTTGTTCTTCCCACAGAAATTCACTGATTACTACAAGTTCATTTCAAAAGACAGTCCTGGTTTCTGTTTTTTTTTTTTTGTTTTGTTTTGTTTTTTCAGTTCATGTGATTGTTTGCTTTTATCTAAGCCAGGAAGACCTTGCACTGCTCCAAAGTAGTCAGTAAGTTTGACTTTAGTAACTCCGGATTTGGGCTGTACGTGGAAGCATGTCAAGACTGTGGCCTAGCGAATCTACGCAGGCTTTGCATCTCTACTATTCCTTCAAGGTAACTTTTACTAGCATCCTATTTTCTGCTAACATCAAGGTTGCCCCTAATCCATGTTTGTATGAAAGTGCTAATTACTCTCTACATATCAAGTCTGTTTTGTACTGAATTTTCAGCAGCTAATTGAGAGACATTAGAATGAAAACTAATCTGTGGCCCTGGACTGGCAGACATCTTAATTGTCCATTAACTATTTTCTTTCACCCTTTTGACTCAATCAGGCAACCAAAAACACTCCCTGATAACCTGCTCCAAGTTAATTCCGAAGGTTTCAGAGCCCCAGGCAAAAGTGAAAATGATTAGTTGCTCGCAAAGAAAAGAGAACCCATGGGGACTATTTGATGTGTTGTTAATTTATTTCCCTAGTGTGTGAAAGAACAAATGCTTAAGTATATTAAATCTCTTTACTCCCCAGTATTTTCTTAAATTTTCTCAGGTTGTAATGCTCAATTACTTCAAAATCATTCTGTTTCTTTATATGCCTTTACATATTTGTATCTTTGGGCTTTGGGGTTTGTTTGCTTTCTTTTTTAAACCAATTTTAATCTCCTTTCCTGAGCAAGTCTCTTCCTTCAATTTTATTATTATTTCAATTATTTATTTTTTTCTATATTCAGTTTTTTGATGAGCCAGGATGGACATGCTTTTTCTTTTCTTAGGTATTTATTTTAATTTTAGAATTAGTACCCAACATCCCTGATTCTCTATCCTTCAGGATCCAAGATCTAGAATTCCAACATCAGGATCTAATTTGGAATCTGTTGTGGGAGACCACAGGACTTGCCAAACTTTCATATGGTTGAAAATAAGTAATATTCTTGTCTGAAAAACAATGACATATTTATTTTAAGTTTTCAGTTGTACTCTTCGATTTACATTCCTTAAGAAAATTGAGAGAGAATACAGAGATGAAACTGAAATATTTCTTTGGCATTTGCATTTGAGGATAGAGAATTGAGTCATAGCAATTAGAAAGCACCAATTCTCCCTCCTACCTTCTCTCTCTCTCTCTCTCTCTCTCTCTCTCTCTCTCTCTGTTTTATACTTTCTCTGTTAGCTTCAAAAGATGTCCCAGATTGGTTTTCCTTTTTGCACTCATTTCATATCATCTCCTTTTGGAGCTCCCTCAGATTTGCTCTAGCTCCCTAAATCTCGTCTCCACGAATCACCTTCACAGTGGTTGAAGAAGAGATAAAATATAAGATGTGTATTGTTCTCAAAAACATATTCTGGACCACCAGAAATTTTACCAGGGACTAAATAGTACAAATTCAACCAGAAAAAAATGGAGCTGCTAGGGAAGAAAAAAAAAGTATAGTCAAAGACTATGGATGAATTGAGAACAAAAGAAACCTCACGAATATTGTTGGAGAGATCATTAGCAAGTAAGTCAGAAATCGATTCAGTTTAAGTCCAGAATTCCACTAAATGTAAGTGAGTCAGATGTCACATTAAGTCTTGTGGCTCTTCAAGAACTTGCAAATAGTGTATTTATTACATAGCAGCTTCACATAAACGTCAGAAAGCAAAAATGAAAACCCTACAGTACCAGTAAAGTTAGTATATTTTCACTAATTAAGACTTCACAGTAAATCTGGATGTTATTACAATGAACCCTACATCAGATGAAGACAATGAGAAAATAAAACAAACATGATTTTTTTTGGCAGTGGGGTCTGAGGTGTGCGTGGGTGTGCCAGGTGCACTGAAACAGGTTTTACCACCATTTCTCTAATTAGCCAAACCATCAAAACCACTGCAAGAAGGTTTCACACTGTTTATTGTTTCTTTTTCTTTAGTTGTTATTACTCCCTGCCTCCCTGCATCTGTCCAATATAATGTGAGGGAAATCCTGGAACCAAGGCTGAAAGCAAAACAAACATAATGCATTTGTGAACTAGGTGTTGATTTTGTCACTGTCTTGCTCTGTGGACTTTAATGAGTTAGTTACTGCATCTCTGTTTTCCTCTCTATTCATAAAGGTTTGGTAAAGCACTCAAACCAAACTTCAATAGTAGCTGCTGTATGCATACATAATACATATGAGCTGACTACAAAAGTATTTGATATTTGCTTACTTTTTTTCAGGATATTTCATTACTATAGTTATATTCCTTTATATTTTTGCTTACATTCTCCAAGCATTAGGATATTACTTGCCTTTGCCTGATCCCATCCAATTTGAGAAGCTATACAATTTATAGCTTTACCATTGCTTTCCTTCTCAATCCTTTTAGCCTAGCCATTTTTGCTGCATTATCTCAGTGCCTTTATTAATTTAAATACATATTCCTATTAGGATACATTTCATTATCAGGAATCTCCATGTACCATAGATCTGCATAAAAGAACTCATTACTGGAATCTGTAATGCTAAAGATGCTAACGAAGCATGCCTATTTGATATGTTTTGAACAGTACCAGAAAAATCCAGAAGCCTTTCAAAATATCACTCTGTGCCCTCATTACCATGGCCAAAAAAGTTTAAAACCACTAGAAATCTCATTTAAATTTTCACAAATAAATTTAAGCAATATAGAAAACAAGAAGTAGATGAAAAATGAATCAAACATTAAAAATAGATACTGTTTAAAATACAGGGTACATTTTCAAAGTTGTGCAACATCAAGATACCAGTAGCTAAGTGGATCTATAACAAGAGGGGATAATTAATTAAAAAAAAATCCAGGAAGAAAATAAACATCTGGTGACATGAATAAGTTCTCTAGTAATTAAAGACTTGCAAATTAAAACAATGAAAAGGTACATTTAAAACCTATTAAATTAAAGAACATAATACCCAATGCTAATGAGGTAGGGGTAAAACTGGTACATTTATACATTAACTGGAAGCACTGTAAATTGGTAAAAAGCTTTTGAAAAGCAATATCACTATTCTAGAGAACTTGAAAATTGTTTCTACATGTTAATTTTTTTTAAGATTTTATTTATTTATCCATGAGAGACAGAGACAGACAGAGAGAGAGAGAGAGAGAGAGAGAGAGAGGCAGAGGGAGAAGCAGACTCCATGTAGGGAGCCTGACGTAGGACTCGATCCCGGGTCTCCAGGACCACACCCTGGGCTGAAGGCAGCACTAAACCCCTGAGCCACCGTGGCTTCCCTACACATTGATTTCTTAAACTTGTTTTTTAATTAATTAAAAATACCTACAAAAGCAAAACAGAACTTCTCATATCTAAAATGTTATGTTCTGCATTTTAAAAAATTACCAAAAGAGTAGAAAGTGATTTAATGATACAGTTTTACAATTTAATTTAATAATAAATTTTAAAAAAGAAGGAGATTCCAAAATTATATGAACCTTAGTTTTTTATATGGTCAGACTAGAGAGTAGCAAAAATTACAAAAGCACTATTGGCGTATTGTGTTGGAATTATTTAGTTGGTTTTATTTTCAAATTTCTCTTCTATTATATTGTTTTAATAATAGTTTGTATAAAGAGGCAAAATTTTTTATATGAAATCCTATTAAAATTGCAACTCTCTTAGGAGATATAATAAGCTTAGCAGGGATTTGTTGACAACAAACTAGAATCAGGCTAGCTTGCTTTTAGGATGCAGAATAGAGAACTGTTTAGGAAAAGAATAAGTACTAGAAAGAGAAAAAAGCTATTGAAAGGAAACTGTTAGTGAATCACATTCATACCTGTTCTACTTTGAAATTTAACCTAGGACTGAGTAAAGCCAAAGAACTAATGATCTTCATTGTAGGTTTAAAACTAATGAAAGTCATCTTATTGGTAATTGTTGAGTTAGCTATAGTTCACTTATTAAGCATTGATGTTTTCTTATTTGTTTTTATCTATATTTATATGTACCTTTTTTCTACAAGTTACTCTTTTAGGTTATCTCAATATCAAATAATCAGTATATGAATTATAAATATGTAAGTGCTATATATAAATATTTTAAACATGCTGCCTTGTATTCTAAATATTTCTTTATGATTTTATATGCATTTCTTTTGTTTCTTCACTTACTGAATATCCTATGATAAATCTATTTTAGTTGCCATTTGAATTTCTAGTCTTCCTTTCCAATGTGAATTAGATTTTCTTTCCATTTATCCCTCCATATCATTTTAAATCATGTAAAAGTTAACCAAGGTGACAGTTTGGATAAGATCCAGATATTTCAGAAAGTGCATGTTTATATTTTTTGTCAATATCCTTAATACAAGAAAATGTTTTTTGGTGTTCTTAAATGTCTAACTTAAGATTGGCCTGTAAAAGAATATAAAAAAATAATCTCAGGTGAGGTATTGTCCAAAATAAATATATGAGAATCTGCTCATGGAGAGTAAAAGTTCTTCTTCCACAGTTAAGACCTTTGCAATCATCAGGGCAATTTTTACCAACATACCTGTGAAATGGTCTTCAGGCACTTGCGGCTTTTCTCAGACAAAATATTTTTAGGTATTTAGTTTATTTTCTATGCATGTGTTTGAAAACATTCTCCATAACAGCAAATATCTGTTTTAAGATCATAAATAAAAGCACAAGTTGCCTTATTTTCAAGCATATCTTTTTACAATAAATAAAATTCATAAAACCCCAATGGAGCCAGAACAAGTTATTCCCTTGGGGCCAGGGGAGATAAAGACAATTAGGGATATTTTAAAATGGCATCCTGGGCTAGTCTAAATAGTGTTTAGACATTTAAATGTATTATTTTCATACTATTTAAATGGCTAAGCATGAGTATAAGAAAGAAGGAAAGAAGTATGCTCTAGGATTCCACAATCTGTGCAACACTTCGTCTAATTCTTCTAAACTTTCAAATATGGAAAATAAACATACCATTTATGCAAAAGAAACTAAAACAAGGGCACAATTTTATCTCATTTTACAGGGGAAAAATGGAGCTCTCCACAATGACCAGTACACAAAATCTTTCAGAAAAACAGATAGACCCATATCTTCCTTTCCAAAAGATGTGCACAATAACTCTTTGTTAAAATCAATCTCTCTCTCTCTCTC